GTGTCACACCAGGTTATCGACCTGGCTCAACCTAGGCACATGATCCGGCTGCGACAGTGCTGGCTGTTCAGCAGTCACCAGTCTTGCCTCTCAACTTCAGGGACATCCATAGCACCCTCAAGCCTAGTCATGGGCCTTTCAAACCCGCCTTTCGTGTCCCACACCGGCCCCCCTTGTGCACAGCGTGCCCTGCGGGATGCGTCAACGGCAACTGCTCTGCGCCTGGCGTTTGCAACTGCACGTCTGGCTGGAGCGGGACGTCATGCAACACGCCAGGTGAGGCCTTAACCGCAGTGGCCCGTGGCGGCTCGCTGTCCCTGCCCAGCCGATGATGCTGCCTCCGCACGGAGGTGCGTGCTATCTCCCAGGACACAAGTGCTGGCACATCAGAAGCAGCAACATGCACGTTTCAGGCGATCGGCAACCCTCGCTCACCCACACGACGCACCACGCCTCGCCCCCACGCGCAGTCTGCCCTGCCGGATGTGTGAATGGCAACTGCTCGGCTCCCGGCGTGTGCAACTGCACGTCCGGCTGGAGCGGCACCTCGTGCAACACGGCTGGTGAGGCGTTGGCCAGGGGGGGCCAGCCGCAACTGGCCTAATCTGCCTAATCATCAGGGCCAGCTCGGTCCAGAGAGGGCCAGCCGCAACTGGCGTAATCTGCCTAACCATCAGGGCCAGCTCGGTCCAGAGAAACATGTTTCAATTGTCTTGTGAACGCCACAATGCAGGGCCCATCGCGTGTCCAGTCGCAACCGCAACAGGCGCGTCGCGCGTCTCACACCTAGCCTCCGCGCCGCACCTCCCGCTCCTCATGCGCAGTGTGCCCCGCGGGATGCGTCAACGGCAACTGCTCTGCGCCTGGCGTGTGCACCTGTGCATCTGGCTGGAGCGGGACCTCGTGCAACACGGCTGGTGAGGCCTTGGCCGCAGCGGCCGGCAACCACTCGCTCACACTGCCTTGCTGATGGCACTGCGTCCGCCCAGGGGTCAATGCCTGACAGCAGGCACATCTTGCTTGTGTCAAGCGACAGCAACATCCAGCACGCGTGTGGTGGCGCTGGCAACCACCTCACACCCGCACGCGGCACCCCGCCCCTGCTCATGCGCAGTGTGCCCTGCGGGATGTGTCAACGGCAACTGCTCAGCCCCCGGCGTGTGCACCTGCGCACTTGGCTGGAGCGGGACCAATTGCAGCACGCCAGGTGAGGCCTTGGCCGCAGCAGCCCGCGGCAGCTTGTCTGCTGCGCCCGGTCGTCGGCCTGCCTCGCCCCGAAAACCACATCCCATGTATGATCAGCCGGCCAGCCACCCAGCCACATGCGGTGCTGCAGTCAACACATTTTAAGTCCTTGCCGCGGCGCTTGCTTCATGCATTCGCAGCACCCGGCGTGGCTGCGCACGCTTCACATCCACCCGCGTCCGCCCCCCTCGACCCCGTTCACGCAGGCTCCTTGCTGTGCGCCTTGGCCCCATGCGCCAACGGAGGGGTGTGCGTCGGCCTTAACACATGCGACTGCTCCTCCACCGGCGGCTGGACGGGGCCCACCTGCTCCAACGCCAGTGCGTGCACTGGGAGGGGCAGGGGGCGTTGGGCAGGCATTACGGTGTCCTCTCAAGTCCTCGCTGTGTCCGCTGCCGCCTTTGCCTTCCACCACGCCCCTCTGCTCCAATCGCCGCCTGACAACAGCAACACAGGCCCTTTGCAGGCATACAATTGCGACACACCCTGCTGGCCAGCCTCTCGCAACATGCGTGACGCCCCCCAACCCCCCCTTGCCCCCACGATCAGCCTGCTCATCCGGGTGTGTCAATGGGAACTGCTCTGCTCCCAATGTGTGCACCTGCTCGTCTGGCTGGACTGGAACCTCATGCAACACGCCAGGTGAGGGCTGAGAAACAAGTCGCAGCGGCTCGCGGCTTGT